TTTTCATAAAGGGGGCAGTGATGTGTGTCTTTGCGAGACAGAGTCACCAATCTAGCAGCCCTCTAATTTAAAATATTATCTTTCTTTTCCTTTTTTTTTTTTAATTTTTTTTTTTTCCCTTTCCCTGAGAGCCTCCTTGAGCAACATGACAGATTATCTCAACATAATCAGACTGATACAAAACCCTCTCTCTGAAAGGCACCGAGAGGAATTTCTAAGCCCTAGACCTGGTGAAGAAAAGGCTTTCTGAAGGGACCTCCTTTGCTGCTCATTTTCCTCTTTATTTAACAAATGTTGTGTTTTGTAGCCTTAGCGTTACTGCAAGCCATATTAAAGAGCCAACCATCACACAGAGTGCCCATAGGAGAAAAGGAGGTGTGCCCTCCATTTGAGCTGGCTTGCCAGGTTGCTCTCCAAGTGGGGATTTTGGATTCCAGTTGATGGTTCTTTACTTTGGAAGAAAATTCCACCAATATTGTCTTGGGGATGGGCAGTGGGAGGGATAAGGTTTGCAAGGTAGATGGGACCTTCTGTGCTGGGAGACTGGAGGATGCTGAAGATTGGGATGTCTTGAGTTGGACTTGAGGATCCTCATGGGACCATTCCAACTCGGGATATTGTATGATCTTATGACTGCATGATTCTATGATCTGCATTGACTCCAACCTGGAAAAACAAGGATTGCCACAGCTCTTTGCCATAGCAATTTAGGACTGGATCTGTGGATCTGGGACATGAAAGACCATGTGGAAATGGACTCCAGTGCAGATGGGGCACTAAAATACTGTTTTCCTTGGCAGAAACATGGTTGAATGCTGAGTTTGCTACCCTACTCTGGCTGAGAAATTCTCTTTCCCACCTCGGCCCCATCCCCTTTCTTCCCTTGCTTCAGTGCTCAAAACCCCTCATCCACCTGAATACATGGATGGGCAAGCAACCTCCATTAGCAAGTCACAGTTATAGTGCACTTTCATTCCAGCACCTCCTGCCATACCCCAGGCAAGTGGAAAACACCAAAGACTTGGGATAAGAGCTGTAAGAAGAACACATGATATGCACCAGGAACCTTTGCACTTAACCTGCAGCCACATTGAGCTGTTTCAATATTTGCTGCAAATTTGGAAGATGCTCCCTTGTAAACCCCCAGGCCAGGTGGCAGCTCCCTGTGCTTTGAAGGCTCACTCAGGAATGTGAATTTTCTCCAATGGGAGGAAGAGAGGTAATTACAGAGACAGTCTGTCATCCATCTTGAAGAAAATATTCTGCTTTTTTTTTGCACCTATCTTGGAAAGGTGGCAATCGGGCAGCCCTTGACCCAGGATCAAGACAAGGGAAAGACTTTAACTCATTTGTTTACCAGCACAGGTTTCTTGGAGCTAATTAATGAGCCAAGCTGGTATCCTGCAACAGGTACCAATGATGATGACAGGGGATTTCCTGCATGCTACACTTCTGCTCAAGGAGAAGATGAATTTGGATGAGATGAATTTGATTGTGCCATTGAACTGCTTGCTCCTCTCTATCCCCAAAAAGGAGGAAATGAAAAGCCATGGGAAAGCCCTCCATCATCATCCTCCCCACCCAGACCAATGACTGATTGTTGTCTGTAAAATGCTCTGAGCAGAAAAGTACTTAGATAAACGTGTGTAGGGTCTGAAAGACCACCTGCATCAACAGAGTGAGCCCTTGGGGTTGAGGATGCTGCATTCCCCCTTCTTGGGCATGGGGATGAGCAGGGCTGCAGTTGTGCCCACACACTGTATTTGCACACCCGGAGATGCTCAAGCAGCACCTACATTCACAGAAGTACTGATATCGGGGAGAAGTGTTGAGGGGGACAACTATGTGGGGAGGAAGTGATGTGGATAAATAGAGGGGGGGAGGGAGGGAGCAAAAAGCACATGGGAAGGTGATAGCCGAAAGAAGGGGAATAACTCCTGAGGGGCAGCATGTCGAGGGCGATTGCAAGCCCCAACGGCAGGCGGGTTGTTTATTGGATTTTGGGTTGATTTGTTTGTTTTTGTTTTATTTTCTGAGGTGGGGATGTGGAAGGAAGGGTGGGGGCACTGCTCCGGAGGGCTGTGCCGAGCATCCATCTGTGCGCAACGGGGGCGGCGAGCGGCCATCGTCGGGCTGCGAGCGCCATCTCCCCGCCGCTCGCCGCAAGCCCCGGCCGCCCCCAACTGCTCCCCCCGCGGCGAGAAACGGCTTGGGCTGGGGAAGAAGAGGGGTTTGCGGGATCCTGACATTCTCTTCTAGTGCCCCCCAGACTTCTCTCGAGCCAGTGGGACAGCCCCGATGCTATGGGGAGGGCGAAGAGGGAGCGAAGTTTAGGGTGGTTGTAAAAAGGGGACGTATACAGCATAAAGCAATGCAATCGCTTTCCTGATCCATTCTGCATCCCAGCAGGGCTGTCCATAGGGTGGACTAATGGTTCCTGCAGCCCTTTGGCCGTTTCTTAGGATGTGAGTATAATTCATGAGCTCCCCCTTTGCCTACGACACACACAGACATCTCTCAGCCTGGGTGTGGGGTCCAGCACACCTCCCCCTGACTCAGTTTCCCCCTTCTTTGTCGTAAACCCTCTCCACTTTGCAGCTGGTCTTTCCTCAGTCACTGACCCGTATTGGCATGCAGAGCCCAAGGAAGAGGAGAAGAGACTTCAAGCCCTTATCCCTGCACTTGGGGCTCTGCAATTCTATTCCAAGTGCCATGGGAACAGCCAGGAGCACTGCTCCTTGCATATTCTTGCCTGGCCTTCCCATTTTCTCCCCCCCTAGCAGAAGTTAGAAGAAAGGATGCTGCACCCTTTCATAAGATAGAGAGGGGGTCTGATGCCTGCACCCCATGCCTCCCAATCAATCTCCTGTCCTGCAGTTGAGAGCCATGTTCACCATACCCAACACTATACTTCTCCCCAGTCCCAGCCTGGCTCAGCCTGTGGCCACTCCATGACCTCCCTTCTCTTCCTTGGTGAGGTGCTGGATAGAATTTGGGGCCCCAGGTTAATGAGTCATTAATTAATTAGGAACCCACTTAACATGCACGGGGAGTTGTTTGTTTCCTTTAGCAGCCTGGGCTTTGGATGAGATCCCAGCTCTGCGAAGCCTCCAGCCTCGTCTCCCAGCTGATAATAGATAATACAGATATTTCAGCACCAGCCAAAGCAGAGTCATCATCATTAATACACAGTCCTCCCTGCTACGCGGCGGAGGTCGCCAGTCAATTTCAGGGCTCATCCCTCCTGGCTCTCCTTAGGCTTTGCATAGCCAGGAGACAGCAAACCTGGAGCAAATCAACAGGTAAAGGGGCCATGCAGACTGCACCCCAACCTCCCCTGGCCACCCCGATAGGGCAACTCCAGCTTTTGAGGCAGTGTGATTTTTGCTCCACTGCTGCGCAGGTTTTGACATCTGTCAAAGTAGCTTTGCTCTTCCTCCACCTTCCTCCTCCTCCCTTAGCCATCAGCTGTCAGCTGGCTCGAGTTGGAGCTGGATGGAGCCTGAGCCCTGGGAAACCTCAGCTAGGAAAGGGACTGGGGTGGTCAGGGATGTAGGATAGGGAATCCTGTTGCCCTCCATCTCTTTGACCTTGCCTTGATATTTCCCCCCACTGCACTCCTCTCTGTGCATATGATTCACAGGGGTTGTTTCCTCTGCCAGGGCAGGAGCAGGACTATGAGCATGAGTCACAAGCTGGAGATACCTCGCAGAGTTGATTTGCAACCCGGTGCCTTCAATTGCCAGGGACTGATGCTGTAGAAGCCAAAAGCAGGGCACGACCGTGCTGAAAAGTCCCTTTGAAACCCATCTACCTGCTCCCACCACCCCCAACCCCACTTCTACTTCGAGCCTTGACAGAGCCATGGCTGAAATACCTCTCTGCAAAAGTCTGGAGATACATCAACAGCCACCCTCCATCAGCGAATGTCAGGCCGTGAAAGGAAAGGGGGCGGTGGGGGAAGAGGGAGAGACAAATTCTGCGATTCATTCCCACACAGGGTGATTCAGAACAAGATGCTTTGTAATTACGCATCCCTGATGGAGACTCCTTCTTTTCCCCCTCTACCCCATCCCCATAGGAAAGGCTAAAGCTGTGCCTGGGTGCCAGCATACCCTGAGCACCTGAAGCACTGTATCTGTACAATACTCTGATTTCTACATAGGCTAAAAGATAATTTTCTCCTACTGTGTGAAGCAAAGCATTGATAAACAGCACTGTTTTTTTGTTGGTTTTTTTTTTTTTGTTTTGTTTTTTTTTGGGGGGGGGGGGGAGGGAGGAAGCTCATTGCCTCCCCAAACCCACTGCCTACAGCCTTGGAGAGATGAGCGGCAAAGCAAGGAGCTATTCCCAAAAACTCTCCATGAGAAATGAGGAAAGCAAAGAGCTGGGATGGGGGCAGATAGGGGCAGGATTCACACTCAGCTGCCTTTCCCTCCGAGACTTTGTTTGCCAACATTGCAGGCATGGAGGAGTCCCGGAGCCCGTGGAAGCACCGTGGATTCGCAGCACTTTGCAGTACAGCCCCGCTTTTGCTCTGCAGCTCCGTGCACCGATGCCCCCCAGCTTTCTCCCCCAGAAACAGCCCGTCCTCATCTCATTTCCCCAGGACAAAAATGCCATTCTCTCCTTTCTGCCCCCCCCCCTCTTCCCCCCCCTCAACCTCCCCGCATTCTGCAGACATCACTGTTTCCCACCGCCGCTCGATGTTTGCCCACAGGACCCTCATGCACGAAAGTTAAAACTTCCCATGGCAGGCAGCGATTATGCTCTATCGCTCCAAATTGCAGTGAGGATCGGAGGTGGGGGGGAGGGGGGGTTTGGAAGAGGGGAAGATAACCTCCTCCTGGTGTTGTTTCTAGGGGCAAAAAAGCAATAGGAGATGGTGCCCACCGATGCTTCACCCCCTAATGGATGGAGAGACCCCGCAAAACGCATACCGGAGAAGTCCCCATCCCTCCCCTCTTCGGGAGAAGGAAGGGTTGTCAGGAGCCCCTTACCTTGCAGAGCTCCCCAGGTTTTATATCCTCCTTCTTCCCTTTGTCAAATTCCAAATGGAAAGCAGAGACATATCCAGGGGTAACCAACCCAACATAGGGCAGCGTGTGGAGTCCAAAAGGCAGAGCTCACTCTCCCTCCACTCTTGCCTCTACATATATATATACATACACATTTATATATATATGTATATATCGAACGGGGGGGGGGGGGGGGGGGGGGAAATATTCTAAAAGAAACGGGAGTGGGGAGGGAGAGGAAGGGAGAACCTTTGGTGTCTCTGCAGAGAGGCAGGTGGAAGAGAAAAGCTGAAAATAATTAAGCCGGGTTTTGAGGAATCCTTAGGAGAGCGGAAAAACGCAGTTAAAAGCCAGCAAAGCATTAGATCCAAGCAATCAAGTCTTCCTCTTCTTCTTCCCTCCCAAAAATATACAGCAGGGTTCAGAGTAGCTTTCCCAGCAGCGAAGAGAGAGAACAGTCTTCTCCAGAAAGATATGTTTGGTTAAAATCCACTCGTCTGCTTTTCTTTCTTTCTCTCTCTTCTCCCCCCACTTTTTTTCCTTTTTCTTTTTTCTTTTCTTTTCTTTTTTTTTAATTCTGCTTCTGAATCTCTCTCTGTGAAACTAGATCCAGTCTTTGTAGCCAGGGGCTGCATTAAGGATTACATCAGGCTTTTATAAGCTTTCCAGATCACACATTAGAGTGAGAGAGAGAGAGAGAGAGAGAGAGAGGGGAAGGGAGGGATGGGAGGGAGGGATGAAACGCACACACATCCACACGCACACGCACGGATCGGAGCTTTGTAAAACAGGCGGCTATAAGCACGGACCCGAAGTGCCACGGCATTTGCATTGGGCATGCTCCGCTAGCCTATAGGAGGAGAGGATGGATGGATGGATGGATGGATGGATGGATGGATGGATGGATGGATGGAAGGATGGATGGAGCACAAGAGCCAGAAAAAGCTGAAGCGCGTTGGCAACCGGGCAACGCAGCCTCCCCGGGACAACTTAGCCCTAAGCAGGGAGACAGGAGGTGAAAAGGGAGCTGCGGTCGGTGGTGATGGGTTTGGGGCTGGGGGAGGGGGACAGTGGGGCTCTGCCTCCCCTCTTTCCCAAACTTGCAGGAGAGAGGTGCTCGCAGAGGGATGCGTAGGGTCAGGGAGGGGAAGCGGGATGGGGCTCTCTCGGTCCCCATCCACCGCTAAAAAGTCAGGACGCTGGGGGGCAGCGATCCACTCCTTCCCCCCTCCTCCCCAACACCGCTTCCAACCCTGCAGGCGGAAAGGGGGGGTTGGATCTACCCATGCACACCTACCCCCCCTCTGTCCGTTCCACCCCCCCACCCCTCCGTGCTCATGGATTCCCACCACGGTTATGCCAGTGAACAGCAACAGCCATTAACCCTTTCCTATTTATGTATGCGCATTTATTTATTTATGTATTTAACCTCTTTCCTAGCATTCCTCCCACCTTCATCAAGGCACGGCTATTGGTAGTGTGTGTGGGGGGTCTCTCATCCCAGTGCAATACCCCCAGGGTGTTTTTCAGGCTTGAGCAGATGGAGGAAGGTGGGGGGGGGGGGGGGAGGAAAAGTCCGTGCTGTATCCTGGCAGCTTTTGGGTGAAGGTGCTGCTTCTTGAGTTTGAAGCCTGGGGAAGGTGCCCCCCGGTAATGAGGAACTTAATGAAGGAGGTGGGTAGGAAGGGAAAGGGAGAAAGGAAGAGAGCAAGGGGACTCCAGCATCCTGCCAGACTCCAGGACTTGCCCTTTGCCTTTAACCCTTCCTGCTCCAGGAGCAGCTCCTTTCCCTTCAGAAGCAGCCTCCGTCCTTGCTGGAAAGGCACAGACCTGCCTTGTGGGGAGGATATAATCATAAAATCGTACAATGTTGCTGGTTACCCTCACCTGTGCACCCTCTGTTCTAGGGAGAGTTATGAGCACCCTGGTCTCCTCCCCATGGACACCCCAGAGGCACTTTCATTCTCCTTCTTGCCTCCATTCCTTGTCCTTGGCTTTTCTCCCTTCCCTTCTCCACATCCAGCCCTTTCATCCTCTTCTCCACATCACCAAACCCTTTGTATCCCCCCAAAACTTCTAGGTCCAAAAAAAAAAAAAAAAAAAAAAAAGGAAATTTTTCATCAGGAGGAGCTGAACAGTAAACTCTGGCAATCCAGCCTTTCCCAGCCAGCGCTGCAACACTGCTGGCCAAAGACATCTCCAGTCTCAAAGCAGGGACTGGAGCAAAGGGGCAGATGGAGCCTGAAATGCATATTTTCAGCCGACAGGCGGCTATGCTGGATTAACAGGGTGCATGCTCAGAATGGGAATCCCTCCTTTTCTCTTCCCAGCATCTCAAGAATTTATTTGGTTGGCTTCTTTTTTTCTTTGAGAGATGCATCTCCAAGTCACACAAAGATTTATTCTTTTTTTTTTTTTTTTTCCCGGTGTATTTGAGTGGGAAGCAGAAGGGGGCTGGCAGAAAGCTCCCACGTAAAGCATTTGTAAACCCGTGGAGTATCTTGGCCATGACTTCGGGTAGTGGAACAGATGGGGGGCACTCCCTTTCCTTGCACTGGGGCTCGGGCAGAGCAGGGTACAGCTTGGATCTCTCCTATGTTACAGGGTAAAGAAGCTCAGCAAAAGGAAAAAGCATCAAAAAGTACTGCAGAAAAAAAATAAATAAATAAAAATGCCTGCTTACAGCCTCCACTGCTGCCATAGGGCATGTTGGAAATCTCAAGCATCTCAATGTAAAGAAAAAATCACCGATGCTCATTTCTTGCAGCCGTACTTGGGGAGGTCCGTGAACCTTCAGTCCTCTCGTTGAACTAGTGAAAGAACACGACCCCCGATTTAAATACACAGATAAGAGAGTGTTTATCTCCCTGTTTGTCTACGTGTACCCTCCAGGGAGGTTTGGGGTTGAGCAGGCTTGTGAGAAGCCGGTGCTTGCCGGAACTAAAGGCAATGGACACACTTAGTTCCTTCTGTTTTGCACACTTGTGAAGGAATTAAGAAGAAATAGCTCTACCATTGTGTACCAGGATCTGTGAAACTCATTGCTGCAGGATGCTCCTGAGGGCAGACAAGTCCGTTAGCAGAACAAAAGATGTTCTCAGCTCCTGAGGTCTCTTAAAAGCCGAACTTGTGAACCCCTTCCGCCCATCCTACAAACATAACTCGGACATAATCCTTACAGTGTACGGCCTATTTTGTTCCCAGTCTTCCTCCAAACAAATAGTGGGAAGAATATCAAGTGGAAAATTATTACAGCGTTTCCTTATACTAAGAACTGTGGGGTCAAATTTAAACTCGTTAGGGTCAGATTCACATTTGGTAGGGTCGAATTCACACTTGGTATGAATAGATTGAAATTAAACATATTGCACCACACAGAGATATCTTCTCACTGCAGAACTCTGGGTTTCAGCCTTACCAGTTCAACACAACCTGACATACTGGTGAGACTTGAGAAAGCATGGAGAGGGCAGGGAAGAACCATCTCTCAGGAAAATTCTACTTCAGTGGGGAGTTACTTCCCAAGGTTGTGCCATCCGGTGTATTCTTTTGAACTGTTTTTGCTTCAGAGGTTGGGGAGTGGGCCTGAATGAGCAGCCATGCCATGAAGGGGATGGAGAAGTTGCATTAGCAGTGCTTTCCACCTGGAAATTCTCCACAGTTCCCAAAAGTGTTTCTGAAGGGAATCGCTGAGACTACAGCACTAAGATGCTGTAGATTAAAATACAACTTTGCATTGGTAGTTATCCCTTCTATTTCTTATGTAGGGGTGTTGTTCGTAGAATTATGGAATCGTTAAGGTTGGAAAAGACCACCAGGAACATCTAGTCCAACCATCAAAACATCACCACCATCCCACTAAACCACGTCCCACAGTGCAGAAGGACCTGAGTCCATGCAGGGTCTGGGAATCACAAACTTGGGTATAAAAGCAGGAAAGGAAAAAAAAAAAAAAAAAAAAAAAGATAGAAATTATTCTAACAAATGGGAAGCTGCTAAAACATGGAAGATATTTATCCTCGAGGGAACTGCATTTTATCTACTATCTGACTGCATTACTGCAGAGAGCAGAATGACACTACTGCTGGTGAAGTCAGAACAGGAGTGTCCCAGATGGACACATAAAGGGAATCTCTCTAACAAGTTTTCAACTCTTCTTTATGTCTTTCTGGAAATTGTATTCGCAAAGGGGGAAGTGCTGAACACCTTCTAAAGATAGCAATGGCAATAATAATTATAGAGCCTTTACCCACAGTAGCTGCTGGAAACTGATAGCCTCGGTTTTAAAACTGTGGTTAACACAATAGGTTCATTTGATGGTGGGAAAAGCAGTTTCATGTGCAGAGCTTGCCTTGGGAATGTGTTTCCCAAGCAGAACTATAGATGGCAGTACGTAGTATTTACGGAGTTGTTTCCCCAAGTAAATCTTATTCTAGCAGAGAGCAAAAGCATTTCATTTCCTTGTAGTCACAACGCGCTATGATTGAGAACTAAATCAAAGGAAAAAAGTGGAAATACCCAGCAAGAGGAGCTTTCTTACCTGGATACCAGCAAGCAGAGCATGAATATAAAATATCTTAGTGCTGCATAGGCTTGTATGTCCCTTTTCACAGAATGATACCTGGACTGTGGAACAGGAAATGAACTTTCCATAATGGGAAAAGTTTAAGAAGTCTAAACTGTAACAAAAATCTGAGAAAAACTTTCACAAATCGCTTTCACAACTTGGCAGTTCAGCACAGAGCGTGAATTTCATTCAGGCCACTCAAAGTACTTCAATTTCAACTTACATCACTACTTTTTTGTTTGTTTGTTCTGCTATCATGAAGTTACCTTTCAAAATTCAAAATAATTTCAAAGTAATAACTTGCTTTTGTTTTTGTTTTTGCTTTTTTTTCAAAAGTGCTGACATTCCTTCTGTTTTGCTGATCACAGAAAAAACACTCCTTTTCCACAAATTGAAGTTAATTTCAGTGAACTAGCATTTCGAGCCAAAAGAGAAAGATAAGAACCCTACCAAAGAGAGTTTCTTCTTTTTTGTGTTTGGTTTTGGTGTATACAAAATACAGAGTGAAGGAATATTATCCATTGAAGCTGCTTGTAAGTACACTTGTAAGCTTCTTGACTACAGGGCATAAACTTCAGTTTTGCATCGGATCAGCAGCTGACATACATGCAGATTTGCATCCAACAGAGTTGGGGCAAACTCAGCTCTCTATCCTTGCACTTAAAGTTAAATAAAACATTTGAGAAGGAGAAAATACTCTCCTGTGGGTATACATTTTAAATTCCAGATATCAATGGAACTCATAGCTGACATAATGACATCTTTACCAGTTATTTCTAAACAATCCCAGCTCACATCCAAAGCTGTAGGTCAACTTCTTGCCCACCATGTCCACAACACTCAGTGAATATATTTCAGTTAGTTTACATACAAGGATCCAAGTCAGCTTCTCAATGATATCAAAAAAGAAACATAACCAAGAAAAATGGAGGAAAAGATCTTCCAAAACAGCATTTCTTGCAGCCCAAGACTCGAGTAATTCAATACAGCTCCAAAATCTATTTCTTCCCAGGAGAAGTGCTTCCAGGATTCCACAGAATGCAACAGAATTGGGGAGTGCTCAGCACCTTTCCAGATCTGCTCCTTTGATGCTTTCCTGGATGAACATGTGTGATTTTCACATCATATATGTATCTGATCCAAGAGTATCTTCTATATGCTGAAGTATGAAGTACGATCTCATAACGTGTAG